TGCTGACCCCGCCGTTCAGCCCATTCACCTGAGAGCTAGGTGGGTATGAGAACGGCCAGTTGATCCTTCCGTTCTCCTTCCAGGGAGCAGCGAGGGCGCACACACGAGGGTCACTCTCTTTGGTCCTGAGCCTTAAAGGAAGCCGATGGGCCATGAGCGGCACGTTCTCAGGTTTGCTTGCTGTCAGCAAATTGCTCTCCGGGCTGGCTGACCTCCTGTGTGTCACCCATCAACCTGTGGCCACAGGCCAGTGTCTCCCCAGCCTCCTGACACTGGTCTCTGTCTGCAGGGAAGCGTTGCCTCCGGCGGGTATGACATGCACGCACTCGAGCAGGAGTGACCACCATAGCTCCCATCCTCCTCCTCAGGTTGTGGGGGCCCGGGGGGGCTTTTCTGGCTGATGGCGTTTGCGATTAGGTGGTGACAGTGCCTGTGGCTGCACCAAGGGCTGCCTTCCTGTCTACTTGTGCATTTGTTCCGTGGTGCCGGGGATGAAACCCAGGGCCCCAGCTTGCTAGGCCAGTGCTCCACCACGGGCTGCACCCTGGCCCGTCGTACTTTAGGATGGTTACTGTTAGGTGAAATCCATCTTAATAACAAACATTGCAAACAAAACCCTAAATCGGAAGGTCACAGAAACAGAAAATGTCCCCAGGGCAGCCCCTCTCTGCCCTCCCCTTCCTTGGCCCTCTGGGCCCACCCTTCTCGCAGCTCAGCTATCCGGCCAGCTTCCCTGTTGGGTTAGGGGCTCTCGGGTCCTCTGACTGCTGGAGCGGGGCTCCCGCCTTGTTGTTGGGGACCAGGGGGGAGGGGCCGAGCAGGGCTGCTCTCTGGGAAGGCCCCGTTCCTGGCTCCCCTCTGCTGGCTGTGTGCCGGGGTCACTCATGCCCTCGCCCAAACAGCCAGCCAGGCTGCCCGGCTTCTGCTGTCCCTCTGGCCCTCGCCTTCCGGGTCCCAGGCTGCTGCCCTGGCCATCTGTCCCCTCTGGGGAACACTCTCTGTCCTCGTTTGCCCCCACACTGTAGCTGTCTCCCACCCCAAGCTCTAGCCTGAAGTCCCCGAGTGCAGGCTGTCCCCTGCTCGTCACCAGGTGTCATCCAGAAACGACTCTCGGGCTGGACCCCGAGGCCTGCAGATGTCTGCAGAGAGGTCACTCCTTGTTGAAGCCACAGCGTCAAGCTTGTGGCCCTTCAAGTCGATTCCAAACGCAGCTGGCAGGGTCGCGGCAGGGTCGCGGCAGGGTCGCAGCCAGGGGAGAGGAGGGGACCTGAGGCAGGGGTCGAGGACACGGCACCCGCTTTCCTCCTCCGTGTCACCACTGTCCAGGTGCACACAGGTGTGCCCTGGAGACCAGAGGCTGCCTTGTGGGAAGTAACCAGCTTCCTGTTCCCTGGGCCACCCCTGCAGGGTCCCTCACTGCGTCCTCTGCTGACACCTCGTGGCGAACCTGAGAAAGAGGCATGTGGGTGCTTAGAAACCGAAGGCTGACGGTGGACCTGGGAGTGAGGTCCTGGCGATCCAGGGAAGATGCACAGTTTTCAGGGGAGGGGCCCAAAGAATCCACCCGACCCCCACGTCTGGGTGCACCCAGCAGTTTCAGCTCATCATCTGGGTAATTCTCAATGATTTCTAAAGAACAGAAACTTAAAATTAATTTCATGGCCCGATTATTTGTAAGAACTAGAACTTTGATGCTGCTGAGCACGGGCCCGGGCCACTCGGCCCTGTGTACCACCTCTACTGCTCTGCCGTGCCCCTGTCCTCACAGGCCCGACCTGGGAGTCAGGCGTGATGGCAGCGCAGACCCTCTCCAACCATTCGTCCACATGAGGAGCCCGAGGAGAGCACAGGCAGGAAGCACCTGGCCAGTCTCCCAAAGAAGGGCCTCGCAGCCTTGAGGCCTGGCTCCATTCAAAGAGGGCCGGGGGCCTGGGAGGGCCTGCTGCTGTGACTTGGAAGCCCCTCGCCCTGCGTCCTGGCCCATCCCACACTGCTGGGGCCCCCTCGTTCCTGCCCATTCCTTGCTCCAACACCTGGATGCAGGCTCTGTCTCACCTCAACCCTGCGAACGAGGACACGGAGGCTGGGTGGTTGAGTGGTTGCGGAGCTCTGGTGCCTGGTGGGCAGCTGGGGGCCGAGTGCCTGGTCCCCGGCAGTGTGTCTCGGGCAGGTTCACCAGCGTGGTGCTCCAGAGTGGGCGTGGAGTGGCGGGCCACGCCTCCCTGAGCACCAGCGCTGACACGCTGTGCACCTCCGTGGGTAAGAACGGCCACGCCAGGCCTCCAGCCACCACCACCAAGAGTCAGGTGTGGCACTTGCCTAGACCTAGGTGCCCATTCCACCTAGGAGAGCCCCTGAGTCGATTCCAGCAGCGGCGTGCCTGTGGCCGTCCAGATGGGCAGTAGGAGGAAGGGCACCGTCTCCAGGGTCCTCATCACCCTGCAAGCAGGGACGCAAGACGGAGTGAGGGGCCGGCCCCTTCTGCACTGAGAACTGCCTGGTCAGAGCACCAAAGGCCACAATAAAGGACTGGAGGAGTGGGGTCGGCTCAGTCATCCAGACCAGAGTCCCAAGCTGCTCGGCTTGGCTTCCACATTGCAGGACATGACCCACGTCCATGTTTTGTTTCCAAAATGGCTGCTGATCATTTGTCTAGAAATTTCTGACACACCAGAATGTTTGCTGGGCTGTCTTCTTGTCCTCCCCCCACAACTCCCGTGAGTTGACAAGTCTCTTCATGAGTTGACAAGTCTCTTCATGTCTGGAGTACAGTCATTTGTACAAGAAGTCCCGTGTCACCTCACCAACCGCAACGACATTAAAGCCACACTAAACGGATTCTGACGCTCTCCAGCGTGTGGGCCTGTACCGGTGTGAGCAGGGAAGAGGGACCGACTGGGCTGTGTCAGGAGTTGGGGTTTCCCGCAGGGCTCTGACCCCCGCTGATGGAAGATACACAGGACCCTCTTCTGACAGCCCACCTCCCTACAGAGGCTCCCAGAAGGAGGGATCTGGGAGGGACTTCCTCTCCACTCATGCCCTGGGGCAAGAGAAGCAGGCATTTTGCTGTCCCAGTCCCCCACCCTGGGCCTGGCCCTGTGGGAAGCACACCAGCTTCCCAGGAGGGGCCAGGCTGGAGGCTGGAGGTGGGGACTGCTGCACCCTAACCCCCCGTGTGATCCCGTCATCCGCAGTGCTGACCGAGGTGGGGGCCCTGGAGACCTGTCCTCTGGGGCACCGAGCTGAGTTCGCCCCGTTTGCCCAGCCCAGTGGGTTCCCCCCGCAGACAGGCTGGGTGCTGGTGGTTGGCCGTGGCTGGGAGGTGGCGGGAGAGTGCAGCACCGGTGCCGCTGGGGTCCCCGTTGCGTGTTCTTTGTGTGCGTTGGACGGCCCCGACTTCTGCGTTGGGTCCCAGCCACGTCGTGTAGTCACAGAAACCCACTCGCACTGACGTGAGCAGGTGGCACGTGCCATTGAGAAAAGCTGTTCCCAAGGGTCTGCTTCTCCCACGCTGTGTGGCTTCTCCCCCATGCAGGGGTGTCTGAGGTGCAGGCTGCATACAGCGGCTCTTAGGCCACGGGCACAGGCTGCCGGCCCCCGGCACCCTGGATGGCCCTTGCTGGCCTGGGGTTTCGTGTCACCTCAGGCAGGCAGGAGCCGGGGACATGACTGGCGGAGACGGGGCGCCTGCCAGAGGGGCATCTGGACTAGAGCAGAAAGGGAAGGGTCTCCAGGAAGGAGAAGGGCAGCTGGCGAGCCCCGTGTGGCTCCTGGGGCCCACCCAGCACCTCGCAGGTGCACCACGGGAAACCAGCAGCAGAGACTGAGCTGCGGAGCTTGGTAGGCGTCACCCGGGGAGGGGACACAGAGGACAAACAGGCCCAGCAGTGACTCAACCTGGGGGTCAGGTATGCAGCTGGAAGGCTCCCCGTGCGGTGGTCTAGATTTGTCCCCAGGGCGTTCATGGGTCTGGGCTGGGAACTTGTCAGCTTCCGGATGGTTCCAGTGTGCTCCAAAGATGAGAGCTAGTGGCCAAGGCCTAGACCTGGTGTGGAGACATGGAGGACATGCTGTTATTGCGTCTGCGTGTCAGCTGTGCGGGAAGACTGAGGGCTGAGGCTGAGGACCGTCACCAGCAAGGCTCGGGCCTCTCGTGGTGGATTCCTGAGCTCCTTCTCTAACAGCACATGGACCAAAGTCCATGGTGTGGGTGACCACCCAGGGCAGCCTGAGATAGCAGAGGTGTGTCAAGGCCCCTGGGTCCTCCGGCTTCGTCCAGAACCCGCTCTCAGACATTGGAGCCCCAGCCCTCAGCAGGGAGGACAGGACGTGGACTAAGTTCTGGGTTGTTCTGCGCCTCTGGCTGTTGGCGACCGCGAGCTCCAGCAGAGGGCTAGCGCACAGGGAGAGGCCCTGCACCCAGGGCAGGTGAGACTTCCGTCCTGAGCACTGAGGACATCTCCAGATCACCTCCCGTCATTCAGCCAGAGAGGCTCAAAGGAGAGAGGTGTGGGGGATGTGCCCCGGGTGGGGACTGTGACTGGGGTCCTCCCTAGGCCTGTGCTAGCACACAACAGGTTAAATTTACCCTCAAAGTCACTGGAGAATCACCCTGGATGCCACAGGAGTGTGGAAGTGACCTTAGAGTCCTCCCTGCTCTGCGGTGACGATGCAGGTGGCCGGGTGCTTGCTGCCCCCCAGATTAGACAGCATCTTTTTTCAGTTGAGTTTGAGGTCGGTGATGGGGACATCGTCACTTCCTCCGGTGGTTTTAAAAGTTGCACAAACGCTGCGAGTTCCCCTCTGTATCAGGTCTCTCTCTGGAGAGCTTCCCCACACTGGACCAGGACCCCCAGTCGCTCAAAGGCATGTGGAGACTAATGTTCAGACACAAGAAGGCGGCACGCAAGGTCGGTACCGGCGCACTGCTGCTAGGGGAAGCCACGTGCCGCAGACGCTCCGAGACTCACGGGTGCTTTCTCCTCCTTCTGCTTTTCCAGGGCAAAGGGGACGGGACCTCGGCAGAGACGCAGCCAGCCGCGGCCACAGAGGTGAGCAGAGTTCACGCGTGTCTCCTCCAGGTGGTGAGAGCCCTCCCTGAGGAAGGCTCCCGTGAGGTCTTTCTCAATCCCCTGGCTGCTTCAGACCTAGAGTCCAGCCAGAGTGGCCATGGGCCGCTTCTGGCAAAGTGGGATTTGGCATGGTCCCCCCTGGACACTCGGCGCTCGGGGGCAGCCCAAGGGCAGGCGTGGGCCTGGGCACTGCAGGGTCTGCTGTGGACCAATGGGACTCTCGTCCTGCCAGGCCTGGCCTGGGAGTCGTATTTGGAGTCACTGGGGTGGCCTTGGAGTGCTCTCATGTGCAATATTCCTTTAAGACCCCCATCTCGCAGCCAGGCACCGCGGCACAGGCCCGTGATCCCAGTGACTCAAGAAGCTGAGGCGGGAGGATCCCAGGTTGGAGACCAGCCTGGGCAACTTAGAGAGACCTTGTCTCAAAATAAAATTGAAAAGGCTGTCGGTGTAGCTTGACGGTAGAGCGCCCACATTTCAATCCCCAGTACAAAAAGAAAAACAAACAAAAACAACGCAAAATCGTCTCCCCTGCGCCTCCCAGCAAGCTGCCATCGGGTGGGCGGCCAGGCAAGCTGGCCCACCCGGCTCAGACCTGGTGCTGGGGTGGACAAGGTTCTCAGCAGGAGCCTTTTAGGCCCAACGTGGATTTTTTAGATCAGGATGGGTTTCTGCCATGTTTTGATCGGCTCTCTGGTTTCTACTTTTAGTTTTTATTTTTTTCGGCGTGACCCAGGGCCTTGCATGTACTGGGCACGCGCTCTTCCCTCAGCTACCCCCACCCAACTTTCAGGTTTTAATCGTCCCGTCCCAAGTACGAAAGCTCTAAGGCTATGTTTGTTCCTAACCGTCTGGCCCATAATCAAGAGGGCCAGGAGGCGTACCCTGCGCTCAGGCGGGGGGGACTCCGCTGGCTGGTCGGTCTCTGCTAACACCCTGAGCGGCCTGCTTTGCTGGCATGGTTGGCGTCCTTTTTGAAATAAAAGGCCTCTGAGAAGGTACCTCTACCTGCAAGGGGCTGCCTGGCCACGGGTTCTCTGCAGGGAAGGAGGGTGGCCAAGGCAGGCCTGGTGGACCGACGCAGCCCAAACCTGGGGGACGGTCCTACAGTGCGGTTGCTGAACTGGAAGCCAGGGCCTCGGGCTCTGCAGACGTGCCCAGCACCTGTTGGGGTCTGAACGTGTTTCTACTAACAACCTAACACCGACCGGCTAAATGCGAGTCTTGACGTCATCACCACGCAGGACTGGGCGTCCTCACCAGCCGTGAAATCTGAGCCAGCAGTAGCGCGGTGGTGACAGCAGATGCCTGGCTGTGTACGCGTTCAAGGTGGTTCTGGGTATCTTTATCTAAGGGGCTAGCAAATGCCTGGATGCTAGGCTGGGCGGCACCCTAATGTAAATGAAGTCAGAAGAGAAGGTGCGTCGTGGTGGGAGAAACGGAACCAGTGCGCTCCTACGCTCTTCATCATGACTTCCAGTCACTTTTCAGAACAGCTTTCCAGTTCGTGACCTGTTCAGGAAAGAAACAGCTGCTGAAGCTGTAGATGGTGCATCTTAGAAGGCTTCATGCAGCCGTGGGCGGACCTGCGTTTCTTTGGGAATTCCGAGTTCTGTTGTATGTGTATCATTGCGTCCATGCTCGGCCTAGGCACACTCATGGGAAGGAGTTCTGGTATTGATTCCCCCATTTCCTGGTCATAGAAATCAGCACGGGCCAAGGGATCGGGATGGGTCTGTGGGCAAGGATCATGGGTTTGCAGAAGGTGGTTGGTGCGGGTGCTGCTGGGACCTGCGGGGACCATGGCTCCTTCCAGGCGTTGTCCTTGGGGGCGGTGGTGGAATTGGACCCTCAGGCTGCACCTCCAGCTCACCCTGGGCCAGGCACAGGAGGAGTCTGACGTTGCAGCCAGATGCTCTTCTCCCTGTAAGCCCCAAGGGACTGGGCCACGCTTTCAGGGTCACCCTGAGCTCGACGGGCAGGAGTCCCTTAGGTTTAGGGTGAAACCCACAGACTTGAGTCTGGGGGTGCAGCTCAGTGGCAGAGCGCTTGCCCAGCATGTGCAAGGCCTTGGGTTCAGAAGGAACAGCCCACCAATCAGCCCCAAGGTGGCACTACCCTGAGGCACTGCGACGGGTGTGAAGGGGAGCAAGGGGCAGTGGCTTCAGTGGAAACTTGGTCCCCCTGCACTGACCATGGCTTCACACTCTCCCTCCCGCGCCCTCTCCATGAGTGTTTCCAACAAGACGGTGAGAGCTCAGGCCACGAGTATTCTACCACCACAGGACTGCAGGGCTCCCTCAGGGCCCCAGGAGGCAGGCGCTGGGCCTGCACAGGTGCCCGGGGCCTGGACAGCAAGGCGCTGCTTCTCCAGGCCCAGGGCACCGCTGCTGCCCGGCAGACGACGGCAGGTCTCCTGGGTGCTTTTCCTAGTAAACCCTGCAAGTTGCCTCCAGTTTGAGAGCTAATTGACCTTCCCCTTTCCTATCTTGATTTCATTGTTTATTTTCTTGGATTCATAGAAAGAAATTTTAGAAAAGAGACAAAGAAGTTTAGGATTCCAGAGGGAGAGTGCCTTCCTCTGTCCCTGGACCCACCTTGGTCAGATGTGAGGGCCTGGGCATTCTGCTGAGGAAGCGTCCTGGATTCCTCCTCTTTCCTCCCTGCCGTGGGGTGAACACACGTGCCCCCATCATAGAGCCATGCTCTTCAGTGACCTGTGGATCCGGTGGACCCAGAAGAAAGCACGCACTTCCCACTGTGTGACCCGCAGGGACGTGGCCACTCTCCATCACTGTCACCTGGCCTTAGGTCAAGGATGGAGGGACAAGGAGGGCCTTGGGTAGGATAATGGAAATAACTGTAAGGTTTGTCGTGAGGACACAGAGCGGGCCTGACCCCTGGACACCACGCCCGTCAGCAGGTGTGTGCCCACGTGTGGGCGTGTGCTGAGCTCGAATCCTAGTGGCTGTGCAGCAGTTGGCCCTTCTGCCAGACCCTTGATTCGCAGTGGGATGCAGACAGCACCTGGGCCGAATCCTTTAGAAGCTACACAGAGCCTCGTCGCTGCTGCTGAGGAGCGGGGCGCTGGGGAAACGCCCGTCCTGGACCCGTGCCGGTGGAGGCCACAGAGGGTGGAGGCCAGGCCACAGGACGCTGGGCCAGGGTGCAGCACTGCTGTCACAGACCTTTTCCCACCGTCTTCCCCCAGCCATGCCAGCTCCTCTCCCTGCGCAAGGATCCGAGCGGTTTCGGTTTCCCTCTCCCCCTCGTCCTTCCTGGCCTCTTCCTGACTCCTGGGCCCGGGATGCTGGCAGTGGCCGACGCCTCTGGTTTTCCTTGGGTTTTGTGATGTGGAGGTGGTAGCTGAAGCTTGGGGATAAAGCACAACCTGGTTTCTCAGTCGGTTCTTAGAAGGGAGTCTCCGCTACGCTGCTGTTCATGCAGAAGCCCTTGCCCGGGCCAGCTCTGACCAGGGCTCCAGGTCCACTCCCACCTGGGGACGTGGCTTGGATTGCCGAGCGGAGGCAGCTCACGTGTGGACGGGCAGGGAGGGGCGCCGGGTGGTGGGGGCCCCCCGGTGGGTGAGGACCTCTGGGGCAGGGGGGCTCTGAGGGACGCTTCTGGAACCGGGTGGCAGCCGGCAGAGGTACCGCACCGGCAAGCAGAGACGATGTCTCGGTGGTTTCTGTGTTCCGTCCATGAGCCGTGGCCAGAGGGAAACGCAGCGCCATTCCTGTGCTCGGGTGAGAGGGGCCTGGAGGTCTGTGGGCGCCGCAGCAGGCCCGGGGGGCACTGGGTAGTGTGTTCAGAGTCAGGAAGATCCTTTCTTTAAAGCCAGACTTTCCCCTCCTTTGGGACGCCTGGAGAACACCTGGGCATCAACTTCAGGGAAACTGTTGACCCTGGTTTATGTCATTTGCTCTGGCCACCGCCCAGCCCCCCATAAGCCATAGCACAGGCTTAGAGACCCTGGGGAGAGAGAGACGCCCACCCGCGGGCTCCCCTCGAGTTCCAGGGACTCCTCTTTTCTTCCGGGTGCTTTTCTGTAATTTCCAAAGAGGTTTGAGCTTCGGGTTCAGTAACCGTAGTTCGGCAACTCAGGCGAGGCGCTCCTCACCCGGGAGCATTAGGGTGGCCCTGCAGGCACAGGGCCAGGCTGCGGGGCAGGTGGCACTAGAGTCTCCGTCGAGGCCTCTGCTCTTCAAGACAAGGGTAGAGGGCTTCCCCCGCTCACTGACCAAGTTGCCACAACTCACCAAGGTGACCTAAAGCTGTGGCGACGGCTCCCGCAGCCACCCACAGGAGACCTTCTGCCCGAGCCTGCAGTGCTCCTGAATCTCTGTCACAGCCCAGCCCTAGGACATGACCTCACAAAGCAGGAGGGGGGACAGTGAGGTGGGAGG